TGATTGTTGAAAAAAATAAAATAAGAGAAAAAAATAAAGAGTGTGTTAGAATGTATAAAAAAATTCTCTTTAAATTTAAAAATACTCTCTATTATGATCACAATGCTCTATAAAATAAAGAAAATCTTGAAAATATTCTAAATGACTCCATCTCACAGAGTCACAGTTAGATATGCAAGGGATAGTGCATTAAAAGTAATAACCTATTTATACTTCAAATACATTTCTATTACCAAATAAGATTTATTTATGCATTATATACTTCAAGATCATTTTGGCCACATATAAACATAAAAGTAAATATGATAATTTATGAAGGAAAATTGACACAATACACCATGCATACAAGGGTGTATTTTACTTTTCATGTCATATTTTTAAAATCTACAATTTACCCACTACATTTTACTTAAAATTAACAAAATATAAATCTGCTGTATAAATTTAAAAACATTACAAATGTTACGATTACAATTTAACAATTCCTAACTTTTATTTTATTAATAACATTTAAAATGATTTTGTGTTTTTATTTGGGACTTTTAAAGACTTTTGATGATTTAAAAAGTTTGTGTATTCAATTAAGACTTTTAAATACTCTCTAAAAGTTTAGTTGTATTCAATTGAAACTTCTATAGACTTTTAAAAAGTCTCTAAAAATCATGGGATATTCACTTAAATTTTTTTAAATGTCTTTATAAGTCATGAGATATTAAAATAGACAATGGCTTTTGGAGAATTCTTTACTTATTAGACTTCTGAAAACTTTTTGGTAAAAATATAAATAGCAAATGCTTTTGGAGAATTCTCTACTTATTGGACTTCTGAAAACTTTTTGGTAAAATATAAATAGCAAGTCTCAAAACAAATCTTTCATATACTCTGAGATTTGTGAAAATTTCAGAGCCAAAAAAAAAAAAAAGAAGAAGAACGTCTTTTCTTTCAATTTTCTCATATCTCTTCAATTCATTTATTCTAATCAATTTATGATTATTCTATATGTACATAATTACTTGTGAATTGAAATTATGTGTAATTGTTTCAAAACGTAGAATTTCATGTAATCGATCTTTTTTTTTTTTTTTTTGGTTAAGAACAGTTTGTGTTCTTATAATTTATGTTAATTTCATGAAAAAAAAATTTGGTTATGTTCTTAGAAATTGTTGTAAAAGTTTTTTATAATTAGGTAGTAAGAAAGATTGTAATTTTTCAAGTATATAATAAATTTGTCAGATGAAAAGCCTTTAAAAGTCTTTAATCAAAGTCTACCGAAGTTCATGGAAGACTTTAATTAATTCTTTACAAATCCATGGAAGTTACTTGAAATTCCATAAAATCCACAAAAGTCACTTACTTAAAAAAGTTCATAAAAGTTTTTAAAAGTCATGATTGAATATATCCCCTTAATTAAGATCCTAAAAGTTTTAATATTAGAGAAAACAATTAAGAAGTGCACAAATTGACAATTTTGAACGTTTACCACGTACGAGAGGTGTTAGGATTCACATATTCATCGTAATCACCCTCTTAATCCCAATCACCAAATTTCATTAACAATTAATAATTTATATCCGGTCGAATTTTTCTAAATTAGGCAATTTACCTCTCCTGTGTTCAAACTAATTATAGCCAATTAAATGAACTTAGTATATCTCTACGTGAATCAGAGTATGAGATAAGTAAGAGAACTCAATTAAAGTCTGCAAAATTAGTACAAGTGTATCTCTACTTTCTACCCAAATATTGATTTTCACTAATTTGCATCGTTGGGCCCATGAGATGTTTCATGTTTTTCATAATTGGATCATGCCACTTTGTCTAAGGATCTTGACAGATGCAATGATAGAAGTGTAGGTGGCAACATATTATTAACTAAGAAAGCTGATTGTGTTTTAAATAATTCAATGATAAAATGTCGTGACATTCTGTCAACTTTTCCATGGGTGTGACCCGCGATTATTTTAATCGTGGACCCCACCAAATGTATGTGAGAGGACTGTCAAAATTAATGTCAAAATTGATGTAACTCTAGCATTGTTCGTAGCATGATTGTTCGTAATTTTATTTTCTGTAACCGTAATAGAGTAGCTCTTACTCTAGAGTAAATTTTTGTTTCTACCAAGATTTTAGCACGCTGTTTAGTGCATTCACCTTAAATGTGTATCCTGTTACAAGTCAGATTCTTGTAAATTGTGAATTTTGAATGGTCTTCTCATCATTCTAATGTTTCTTAGGACAGTTTCTTTAGTGTTATGGGAATAAAAGTTTGAGATTTTTTGTTGGGAGATTAGGACGTTCCAAAAGAAAGAGGCTTCATTTAGTAACAAATTGTTGATGTAAAAAATGATGTGGCAGTTTTTGACCCAATTTTTTAGATAGTGGTATATGCAAAACAACAATCAATTAGACTTATTTGGATTTTGAAGTGAGAGGATGGAATGACCGAAGACTCACTCTTCAATATTCAAGTTAATGAGGTAGGAAATGAGCCAATGTAAAAGTTAATTGAGTTAGTGGAATGTGAGGATATGTAGGCCATTTATAGGAAGCGAGGGCGAACTATGTTGTTATCACATCAAACATATTAGAAATCGCCTAAATATGTATCACGCTCAACAACTTACTTTCTACTCTTATTGACTAGCACAAATGGTGTGTTTGGTCAATTATGGGTATTGTCGTCATCTTCGAGCTGCAGATGTCTTATCGCAACTTTGGATTGGTTGACAATCTAACATTGTATGTAATCTTTGGTTGTTTCCACTACAAGTGCGATCGAGTTTGAGTTTATATTTCCATAATTTGTCCTTACAATATACATCATTGACGCAGCACGAAATAATGAGTTTAATCAAAAACCTTAAAAAAATATTTTGGAATCCACCAAATTGTGAAGAAATAAACTCAAGAAATTTTATTGATGTAAGATGATCAAAACGATGAATTAACCTATTATTTATAAATGCTTACATGAAAACCTAGTGTAAACAAATTAAAATTGAAAAGATTCCAAAATAAACTAAATGACAAAAACAACACTAAAACTTTAAAAACAGTTTTCGAATCTAAAACGAACTTGGATGGCTAAAATTCCTCATATGTCGCAACTAAGCTATGTGTTCTACTCGTCTCGTCGTTCTTTTTCTAAAATGATATTATGAGTACTCGGACGCCACACTTGCATTATTATTCTTTTCCTTTTCAATCCAATTTGTTTTCAATCAATTCAGTCATCTGTTCTACATCAATTATCTATTCTTAACAAATGCGAAGACATTAATACAGCTTTTTTATAACTCGGCATATCACATCCTGATGGCTTTCTATGGTTATCTTGAGGGGCCGAGGAGAAATAAGGAAAGACGAAGGTGGATTAGAGTGCAAGAGTGAGCCCAAGAAAGTGCAAATAATAGTAGTTTGAAAGCGAGAAAGTGCAAATAATAGTAGTTTGAAAGCGAATCACATGGCCCAAGACAAAGGTGACCGTTGTAAAAAAGTCATTACCATAGCCCGAGAATGTTCTCCTGCCCACGGTTTGAATTAACCTATTATTTATAAATGTTTACATGAAAACCTAGTGTAAACAAATTAAAATTGAAAAGATTCCAAAATAAACTAAATGACAAAAACAACACTAAAACTTTAAAAACAGTTTTCGAATCTTAAACGAACTTGGATGGCTAAAATTCATCATATGTCGCAACTAAGCTATGTGTTCTACTCGTCTCGTCGTTCTTTTTCTAAAATGATATTATGAGTACTCGGACGCCACACTCGCATTATTATTCTTTTCCTTTTCGATCCAATTTGTTTTCAATTAATTCAGTCATCTGTTCTACATCAATTATCTATTCTTAACAAATGCGAAGACATTAATACAGCTTTTTTATAACTCGGCATATCACATCCTGATGGCTTTCTATGGTTATCTCGAGGGGCCGAGGAGAAATAAGGAAAGACGAAGGTGGATTAGAGCGCAAGAGTGAGCCCAAGAAAGTGCAAATAATAGTAGTTTGAAAGCAAGAAAGTGCAAATAATAGTAGTTTGAAAGCGAATCACATGGCCCAAGACAAAGGTGACCGTTGTAAAAAAGTCATTACCATAGCCATCTTCCAAAGGCATTGTGCTAGCCGTTGTATTTCAAATATACACAAAAACAAATCAACAAATACAGGCACTACCTACTACTACTTCTCTCCTCTTCGTACTTGTGTAGATGCTCATCTACATTCTGGGCTTGTTTTGGATTTTTTTTTCATTTACTTAATCAGTGCTTCTGATAAAAACAAATTCAAAATGGTTTTATCTAACCAGAACAATTCTACTCAGATTAAACCCACAAATGCACAAGGTAACTGTTAGTTTTTTTTTTTTTTGGTTTTTGAGTTCAGAACTCAGAATCTAAAACGGTTTCGTTTGTGAAAAAAAATCGTGAACCAGAAGTGGATAGCAGGAAATTTGGAATGGAGTTGAGACCTAACAAAAGAGCTTTAAGTGTGCTGAATCAGAACATAGCGGCAGCTAATCCATTTCCTTGTGTTGTTAACAAGTGGGTTTTATCGGAGTAAGTTTCATCTCTTCCATAACATTTTTAGCGTATATCTTTTTGAATAAGTATTTGATGGGTAATTCCCATTTGAAACTCAGAACAACTGGGGTTTCTGATTCAAATCCTCCACTTCCAAGGTCAGAGTCTGGCCCTTTACTTTCTTGCTTTTATATTCTATCTTCAACTTTTGCTAATGTTAATTTCTTGATTTATAAAGGAAATGGCACTCTCCCAAGAGACCTGCCAAGAGGTATCTGTATGGGAGGATATCCCTCTAACAGACGTAGAGGATCAACCTGTGTCCATATCATTGGAACAATCAGAAACTGACATTAACGAAAAAGATCAAATGGTATATATTTGTTCTCAGAGTTATTTTTTTTTTTTTCAATATGTTTATCTGAAGATAATGGGGATGAATTGATAATACAATGTGTAGGAGGAGGTTGAAATGGAGGACACATTTGAAGAGAATATTATTGATATTGATAGTAGTGATGCAAAAAACCCCCTTGCAGTTGTTGACTATGTTGATCTATATGCATGCTACAAGAAAATGGAGGTAACAATCCATAGATCCTATTACAAAAACAAATTTTTGATAGAAAAATTGTAACAGGTGGACATAATCCCCGTTGGCAACAAATGATTCGATGAGCATGTTGACTGTGTTTAAAACAATCAATGATGGGATGCTATGTAGTATTATGTCGATGATTATGTCAACAATAATCAACATTTTATGCTCGATTTATTTTCAACATTTGATGATTATGATAGATCTCACAAGCACTTTTCACCATTATTTATTTGGACTGAAATACTATTAAGATTCTGCAGAATTGTGGCTGTGTTTCGCCAGATTATATGGTAAAACAATATGACATAAATGAGAGGATGAGGGCTATTCTAATTGACTTGCTGATTGAGGTATACAATGTTCCCTCTTATAACATGTTGTGTTTCGCCAGACTACAATCAATTGTGGGGAATCTAGTGATCTCTTTTTCGGAATCATATTCAACAGGTACACCACAAATTCGACCTTAGGGATGAAACGTTGTTTCTAACTGTAAACTTAATAGACAGATTTTTAGCAAAGCAAATTGTAGAGAGAAAGAAGCTGCAGCTTGTTGGTTTGGTTGCTATGCTATTAGCCTCGAAATATGAGGAAGTTTTATTCCCAGTCGTTGATGATTTGATATTTATATCGGACAAAGCTTACACAAGACAAGAACTTCTTCAAATGGAGTGGTTGATGCTCCACACATTGCAATTTACAATGTCTCCTCCAACTGCGCACGTTTTTATGAGAAGATTTCTCAAGACAGCTCAGTCGGATAGGAAGGTCAGTTGTACAAGTCTTCACCTATCACCCAGTACTGTGTACCAAACACGGCGTTAATGTGTCAACGGAGAAATTACCTAAAAATGCGTTTTTTTTTTCTGTTAGCTTGAGCTTCAGTCTTTCTACTTGATTGAGCTTTGCTTGGTGGAGTATGAAATGCTCAAATATTCGCCTTCATTTTTGGCTGCTGCTGCAATATATACAGCTCAATGTACGCTTTATGGTCTTGGACAATGGTGTAAGACGTGCGAATGGCATACAAGCTACACAGAAGATGAACTACTGTGAGCCATACTTTCCTGGTCGAAATATACATGCTGATTAAACATGATAACAGGATTTTGAGGCTCATTGTTTGTAATCATCAACCAGGGAATGCTCAAGATTGATCGTCGGGTTCCACCAGAAAGCAGCAACCGGGAAACTTTCAGGGGTTTACAGAAAGTACAGCAATCTAAGTTGGGATATACAGCAAAATATGAACCAGCACATTTTCTTGTACAAAAAGCCCCATAATCAGCAGAGGATGTACAGTTACTAACTTCTTGTGACTTGTGTAATTGTGCTGATTCTTGATACAAAATAAGTAGTAACAACTTTACTTGTACGAGAGATTAAGGCTGCAAAAAGCCAAGGCCTTGAGGCATAGATTACAACATTTTCAGATGTATTTTAGTTTCATTCAATCTCTAATAAAATTAAACAAGTACTCCACAATTTCTTATATTATACTTCTGGTATGATCAGTCTCGGGGGCCACTTGAATGTTTTTATGATGACAAAATTATTTTGGAAATTTTTCTAACTAGTTAATTTTTTGGACCAAGGTAAAGTTTGGCAAGAAAAGTCTCTTGCCAAAAATTCTTTACTAGATATTCTCGTTTCGTCTTGTAAAACAATTGCAGAGTCCTTTATCAAAATATCGTCTAGGTAATCTAAATAAAGTTAACTAGGAAAATTAGAGTGTATAAATGGACTAAAAACTCTCAATTGTCTAATTTGACGGTAATACCTAAATGATTCAAATTTTGTGCAAAAAGGATTAGAAATTGTCTTCAACTTTGCTTAGTTTGACGGCAATTCCATTTTATTTCAAATTCGTGCTAAAATGAAGATAAAGAATTTGGAAAAGCATTTGAAAGGAGAAGATATATCTGTCAAAATTTACAAGCACAAACGTGTTGTCTGAAATTATTTAGAGACTTTAGTATCTGTTGACAATTTTAAAAGGGAAAAAATCATATCTAAGGTGTATTCTTTACCACAATTCAAAAGTAAGGTAAATAATTTGAAAATTCAAAAATCAGGTATGAATTTAACTAATTAAAAATATTTATTAAATAAAGATAATAAAATCACAGTTTGTGATTAATGGTCACATTTTCATAATTATAAATTACAGATTTATTTACTGGTCACATATCTTCAAATTTCTTGATCTCAGATTATTTCAAGGTCACATATTAGATTATTTCGAGATCACAGATTATTTCGAGGTCACAGATTTTTAAATTAATTGGTCACATATTATTTTTGAGTCACGTATAATTAAATTTTTAAGTCACAGTTGAGTAATTGGTCACATATATTACCAAACATTTGGTCACATACTACCGCCGCTTGGTCAAGGTCACAGATCGACCAACACAAACTAACCAGCCACGGGACGAAAAATGAACCCCAACAACAACAGATCCGCCACCACCAACAATAGATCCTCCACCAACGACCGCAAACATAAACAGCCAACCACCAATCCGCCACACCCACGACGTCGAAGCAACACACTCGCACACCCCAATAGCATTGCATAACACACCCACTACTACGCCACCGCAAAGTCACAACCAAAAAAATCACCACCACAAACCACCACACCCACAGCAGCGTCGCGATGCTGCTGTGGGGTCGCAGCAGCATCTGTGACACTACTACGATTCGCGAAATCGCAGCAGGGGGAGGGGGAGGGAAGGAAGGGAAGGTGACAAAGACGAGACGGAAGAGGGAGAGGAGAGGAGGGGAGGGGACAGAGAGGGGAGTGGGAGTGGGAGGGGGAGGGAAAGGGCGAGGGCGAGACAGAAGAGAGAGGGGAGAGGAGGGGAGGGGAGGGGGTAGAGAGTGAAAAATTAGGGTTAAAATTTTTTATATATCACCTGATTTTTTAAGAATGAAACTTGGTCCCTGATTTTTGAATTTGAAACTTTAAACACCTGCCTCCATGTAATTTCCTCATTTTAAAATGCATTTGTGGTCCCTTTTACTTTTTGATATTTAGAGCTTGTTTGAGAGAGATTTTTGGGAGAAAAATTGATTTTGAATAGTGATATGATGGGAAATGTGTGGTTGAAAAAGAAGAAAAAATTATTGATGTGATGGAAAATATTATTTTATTGAAGAATCTGTGGTTGAAAATGAGAATTGATTTACGGTAGAAAAATCTAATCTTTTCCAAACAGGGCCTTAATTGAAGGAAATTACTTTTTATTGAATCATTCATGCATAGCATAGGTGTTGTCCCCACCATATTATGAGATTCTGGAAAAAGATGATTGAATATTTAAAGTGCAATTCAAAAGTTTCAGAAACTCAAACGAAAACGGTGTTGCTTGCAACAATTTCAAAGGAAAAAAAAATGTCAACTGAAAAGAATGCACTATTATTAGTCAACTGCTATTACGATTTAAAAAATAAACTCTCTATCATAAATTCTCGTTAAAGATATCAACTGCTTTTATTTAAATTTGAACCTAATTTAAAGTATAGTTTATCTTATCTTTGTTATTTATTAAAGAGAAAATGAAGAATAATACTACCTGTACATCATGAGTTACGTACAGACGAGGTGTACAAAAGAGAGCTGAGATTCTTTTTTATTTTGTTTGATTGACGAAATTCTGACACGATCATATCTCACAATTTCATGTGTATGTAAATCATTATATACTCGTAGCACAAGCATTAGTGATCCCTTAATTATGAGGCCCAGACAACACAAAACTTTGTGAATCTGCCAATGAATACATGATCTCCTGGAGCAACTCTGTTTGATTTTGAATGGTAACTGCATATGTAAATGGATTCCCAGCAATGGCATAAGGTGGACAGTTTAAACTGATAACTAATGGAGATAGCTCAACATTGACACAAGAAAGATAGAAAATGGATACTTGAAGAAGATGAATTCAATATAGAAAGCTTATTAAATTGATTAAATTACAGAGACCCACATTCAAACATTTATACACACGGAATAAAGCAAAAAAACACCCAACAACATACCCTAACTAATTGTACAACGGAGATATGAAAATCCCTGGAATAAAGGATGGTGGAGCAGCTATGGAGAATCCGTTTGGCCGTTTGGAGTAGTGACACTGTAGCTTTCTTCTCCCTCCATTTTCTGTTAGAGTAGAGTCGCTACCTTGGTATATTACGTTTTTTCCATTTCTTGGCTATTTTCTTCTTTAGTCCTCGTCTTTCTATTCTGTTCATTTTGGTCCATAATTTCATCTTTTCTAACAGCCCCCGTCAAGCTGGAGATAGTTTCAACAGCTCCAAGCTTGCTCCGTAGATATAGGTGCCTAGAATTTGATAGTGGTTTGGTTAGGATGTCTGCAACTTGATCAGTGGTTGGAACATAGCTGATTACAAGTTGTTTGGCCAATACCCTATCACGAACGAAATGCACATCAAGTTCTATATGTTTGGTTCGTGCGTGATAGACAGGGTTGGAAGCAAGAGCACTTGCCCCTAGGTTATCACACCAGATTCTGGGAAGCTCTGTTTGGGTAATGCTGAGCTCTTGCAACAACGATTGGGTCCAGACAATTTCTGCAGTGGTGTGAGCTAACGTCCTGTATTCAGCCTCAGTACTAGCCCTTGCCACAACCTGCTGTTTTTTTCGAACACTATGAGACTAAATTCCTTCCAAGGTACACGCAGTATACCACAATGGATTTCCTATCATCTGGGCATGATGCCCAGTCTGCATCACCATAAGCAATAACAATAAGATCTTCTGTTTCGTGGATTCTCAGACCAATCTCAAGTGTTCCTTTGATGTATCTGAACAATCGTTTTAACAAGTTCCAGTGTGCATCAGTAGGGTTTTGAAGATACTGGCTTAGCCTATTCACAGCAAAGGTGATATCTGGCCTAGTGTGTGTTAGATACTGAAGAGCTCCCACAGCACTTCTAAAAATAGTTGGATTTTCTAGACTTTTTTCTTCAGTTTTGGCAACTAGTCTCCCAGCTGCCATTGGCGTAACGCTGGGTTTTAGATTCTCAAAACCAAACTTCCTCAAGGTATCAATGGCATAGTTTCTTTGTGACAAATTCAAACCCATCTCATCTCTGTAAAACTCGATGCCCAGAAATTTGCTCAGAATCCCCATGTCTTTCAATGCAAAGGTGATGTTCAATCTTTCAATTAGACTTTGTACCCTTACATTGCAGCTTCCAGTAATTATGATATCGTCAACATAGATTAGTAGATAAATCATAAATTCCTGAGTTACCTGATAGAAGACAGAGTTATCAGCCTTTGATTGCAAGAATTCCCAGTTTAGCAGTGTTTTCTTTAGTGTATCATGCCAGGCTCTGGGAGCCTGCTTAAGTCCATATAGTGCCTTGCTGAGTTTGCAAACATAGGATGGGTTATCTCGATCAGTAAAGCCTTGAGGTTGTTCCATAAAAACTGTTTCTTCTAGTTTCCCATTAAGGAAGGCATTATTTATATCGACTTGCCTTATTTCCCATCCTTTTGAGATAGCAATTGTAAGAATAATCTTCAGAGTTGGTGCCTTGGCTACTGGGCTGAATGTCTCGTAAGAATCGATGCCTGGTGTTTGTAAAAAAGCTTTCGCCACTAACCTGGCTTTATGCCTCTGAATTTTCCCATCTGCATCACGCTTCAGCTTGTACACCCATTTACAGCCTATTATTTTCATCTTAGGATCTACAGGGACCAAATTCCATGTGTTATTTCTGATCAATGCCTCATATTCTTCCTTCATAGCTTGGCACCATTTACCACTTTTCAAAGCTTCGTGAATACTGACAGGTTCAATATCATCAATTGAACTTGTAATAATGTCAGCAAAACACTTTGGTTTAAAAATTCCTGCTTTGGATCTGGTTACCATATGGTGTTCTGTCATTAGTTCCTTTTCTCTAGTTTCCCCATCATGTTCTGAAGACTCAGCCTGGGAATTAACCAGTACCTCATTTTGTTCTCTTTCCTGTATCTATTGGTTACCAGTCTCTTCACCATTTTTAGTCATTCTTTCATCATCATTTTCAGCAGGATACTCTTGTGTAGGTTCTTCTGGAAGGTGCATTGTATCAGCTAATTCTGAGACTCTTCTGTGAGGATTTAACTCAGATGGAATCATGGGTAATTTGTAGGTACTGACTTGATAGGGTAGATAGTGATAATTAGTAGGAGAGTATTTGTCTAAGGATTTTTTGTTGAGAAAACCCTTTTTGAAAGGAAATGTGTTTTCATCGAAGATTACATGTCTTGAGATATAGATTTTTCCACTAGGACTTAAACATTTGAACCCTTTGTGTGATAAACTAGGTCCTAGATAGACACATTTTTGAGAGTGAAAATCAAACTTGTGCCTCTGATAAGGTCTAAGGCACGGGTAGCATGAACATCCAAACACTTTTAGCAACTGATGATCAGTGTTATGTCTAAATAGAAGTTCATATGGTGACTTATGTTGAAGGATTGAACTAGGCATTCTGTTTATGAGAAATGTTGCAGTTAGAAAAGCCCCACCAATAATAAAGGGGCATACAGGCTTGAGATAGTAGAGTCAAACCAGTCTCAGTGATGTGTCTATGTTTTCTCTCAGCCCTTCCATTTTGAGCGGATGTATGAGGGCAAGAGTATCTTAATTGAATTCCTGATTCTAGAGCTAGTTTATCAAGACTCTTGTACTCTCCTCCCATATCAGATTGAATAGTTTTGATCTTCCTTTCAAACTGATTTTCAACAAGGCTTTTGAACTGTGTAAAGTAGTGAATTACTTCTGATTTATGTTTTAAGGGATAAATCCAGGTATACCTAGTACAATCATCTACAAAGAGAACATAATATTTAAATCCTGAAGTGGAATTAACAGGGGCTGGTCCCCATACATCAGTATGTATTAAATCGAGTGGCATTTTGGCATGAGATGAAGATAATTTAAAAGGTAATGCATGTGATTTACCAGACTGACATGCTTCACAAAATGGAATTTTTTTATTGCTGATAGATTTGAGTTTATTACAGGATTTCAAAAACTGGAGTAGTACAGGAGTAGGAGGATGACCTAGTCTCCTGTGCCAGATTTCAGCCTGTGTTTCTAAGACACTATTTCTAGTAGAGTTTCCTGGTTCAGACAAGCTGGTGCACAGAGTGAACTAGGTTTGTTTCGGTGATGGCTGACAAAACTTGATTTATGAGTATTTGTGTAGTGACTGGGTAGATTCAGCTGATACAAACCACCTTCAAGCTTCCCCTGCACTAGGGCCTTCCTTGTTGATAGATCCTTCACAACACAATTGTTAGGATAGAAGTCAACAGAGACATTATTATCAGAGGTGAGCTTAGAGATACTAATAAGATTCTTTCTTATTTTAGGAACATGCAATAGTTTCTTTAAAACAAGAGTCTTCCCAGTTTCAACATAAAAAGTCTTTGAGCCAATATGAGAAATTTTCAGAGGAGTTCCATTACCAACAACCATTTTCTCCTTACCTCCATATTCTCTTGCTTTAGCAACATTTTCCTTGTCAGTGGTTACATGGTGACTAGCTCCAGAATCAGCATACCAAGCTTGGTCTTCCACTGGGCTTGGATTTGCGATATAGGCAGATGGACGAGAGTTAGGGATCAAATCACCAGGCCTTTTCCCCATAAATTTTTCGTCAAATCTGTTGTAACACCACGCAGCAGTGTGGTTATTCATGCCACATATCTGACAGGGATTCCTTGTTTCATTTGATCTTCTAAATCTTCCTCTGCCTCTGATTCTTCCTCTTAGGTTTGAACCTCTAGTATTTCTGTTTCCTCTTCCATTGTAGGAATTAGCACTGTGGGAATTGCCTTGAGCAAGATTGATTGAGCCAAAGTTATTCCTAACTTGATTGAGGTACTCTAATCTGCTTTCAAACATCATTAGTGTGGATGACAACTCATGCCAGGAAATCTGATCTTTGCTGTTAATTTGCACTACAATTGGAGTGTATTCCTCATCAAGCCCAGCCAGGACTTGAGTTACAAGATCAATGTGTTCTATCTTCTTCCCTGCTATTTCAAGGTTATCAGCAAGCTGTTTGATAGTGCTGAGGTAATGATCCATAGACATGGACCCCTTTCTCATTCTTTGTAATTCAGATGTGAGGAAGGTCACTCTAGACCTATTGAGAATTCCATAATTCTCATTTATGGCTCTCCAAAGCTCACTTGAGCTGTTGCATCCCATCACACGCATCGAGATTTCAGATGTCATTGAGGAGTATAACCACCCCATTAGTAATTGATCAACAGATATCCACCTAGAATACTCGGAATTAGGCAGTGACCTGACTGTGACTCCACTTTCAGTTGTGATCTGGATGTCAATAGTTTGAGGGGAACACTCATTGGTGCCCAATAAATACCCTTCTAACCCATGGCCCCTCACAATTGGCATTATGACGTTTTTCCAAAGCAGAAAATTATCTCTATCAAGCTTGACAGAGGCTGCTTAGGTCAAGTTCATTCCAAAGGGGGTAAGATTGTTCCCAGGAACTGAGGGTTGATTTGATGAACTGAGATTGGTAGTTTCTGGGTTTGTGGGGCTTGAATCCGAGGTAGGAGGTAAAACGTTAGCCATGGGTAGAGGCTCTGATACCAAGATAGGAAATGGATACTTGAAGAAGATGAATTCAATATAGAAAGCTTACTAAATTGATTAAATTACAGAGACCCACATTCAAACATTTATACACACGGATTAAAGCAAAAAAACACCCAACAACATACCCTAACTAATTGTACAACGGAGATATGAAAATCCCTGGAATAAAGGATAGTGGAGCAGCTATGGAGAATCCGTTTGGCCGTTTGGAGTAGTGACACTGTAGCTTTCTTCTCCCTCCATTTTCTGTTAGAGTAGAGTCGCTACCTTGGTATATTACGTTTTTTCCATTTCTTGGCTATTTTCTTCTTTAGTCCTCGGCTTTCTGTGCTGTGGGCCATATTTTCATCTTTTCTATCATAGAAAGCCCGTGTTTTGTAACTTGAGATGTGATAGCACAAGAATGAAAATCTTCTCCTAATTCAGAATTCCTCTGCCATTTTAGACTAACCGTCCCCATTTTTAGCATTGAACAAATAACCTTTGGAATGACAGCAAAAACCATTTTAAAATCCTCTCTAGGAACATGAAGAACGGGTTCTCCAAATTCCTCCTCCTGAGGTTGTATGGTGCATGAATCATCGTCCTCCACATCAAAAGACATTGACAACAACTGCAGTGGCACTTCTGAACAACTATTTGCACTAATTATAAGAATACTTGTTTCATTCAGAGCTAGTGACGGTATACTATCAGAATCAAGATTTTCTTTGATATTTGACAGCAAAAGAGAATCCCGTCGAAATGGAAGCATATAATGATGGCTAATTGTAACAGCAGTCTTGCCTTCAATCTGCAAGCTTTTATGTACATGAACTTTCTGGGAACTAGGTTCACAGCTGTGAAGGTAGCCTAACGAGGCATAAACCATGATAGGTTTGGGAATTGGGACGATTCCATTACATTTTCAGTTTGCAGGACCAGGATTCCAGCACATTATGAAACAGGATAGAAATCAGTCCAAAAGATGGCTGGATTTTCTGAATGTTATCAATATTAGCTTCAGAAAGATCCGAACATTCTTGCCCAGACAACAAGTTCAACATGTAGATTGTCGGCCAAGAATGGCTCAACTTCTCTTGGACTAAGCAAACCACTGCATTTTGTATCTACCAGATTAATTTTTAACTTGCCGGAATGGATTGCAAGACCTTTAGAGGCAAGTATCGCAGGTAAAATAAAGCTTTCTCCAACTAATGCAGGGCCAGATGAACCTAATTTTAGATCCACTTGTAGTTCCAATTCTTCAACCTGTATGGCCTTCAGACCAGAAAATGCTAGACCTGGATCCTTGGTAGGAGTACTTTCTGTTATGTCTTCATATTTCCACAGTGGTAAATCATTCATTGAGGCAGGACTTTCCGCTCTGAAACATATGGTAAAGTTGGGTCCAATTCTTGCAATTACAAATATACATTCCAGCTTCCCACTTTGATCTGCTTTATTAATGATTATATTATTTCACACTAACAAAACACCTATCTATCCACTGTAAAAGAAGAAAGAATAAAAGGTGAAATAAATCATGCAACTTATTGTGGTTGGACATATCAGGACTCCAGGCACAGATGTCAGGGCAAAACTAACAAAAACTGAAAAGGATTACTAGATTAACGTATGGGTCACAATGTATCTATTAGCACTTTCCTTTATTTTAGTTTTTTGAAGGTGGTGAAGTAACACGAAGGTAGAAAGTATGGTACGGTAGCTACAATTTTTCAGGCCTACCAAAGCAGGAGTATGCAAGAGGACCAAGAAGTAACCAGCTCAAAATGCGTGACCAATAAATCACGTGTTTTGGAAGAATAAAACAAATGTAATCCATGAAAGAGTTGCAACCATCAGAGCTGATTAATTAGCACCTAAATATCATAGGGAGCAGAGACAGTTATGTTTGCATCAACAAATGTAGGATGTAACTTCCAGGAAGCCAGATATAGGAAATCTAAAATACAGCAATAGAAATAATTAACGACCTCGTTAAATAAAACTATGCTCCCAGAGAGATGCACCCGATAAATCTATCAATAGCAAAATTACAGATAATAAACTATGTCGCCACTCACCGATCAAGATGCACATGGGAGATTGCAGCTAAATGTGGCTTCTGATCACTTGTGATAATAAAATTACACTCTGATTGATTGAATTACATCTCCAACTGATCTTTTTGACCCCAAAAAATGTTGCCAACAGATGCCGGGCCCACTCGTGCACACGCAAGCTTGATCCAACACGCTAATGTCGATAGACGGTCATGATGGCTCCAAGTAATGGGCGTGGGAGTGGCTCAAAGGCACGAGACGTTTCCATTCAGGCCACCGGCAAGAAAGATGTAACACGATTGTATAAGAAACCAATCGATAAAAAATGATTTGTAGTAGAAAATATGTTGTGGGGATCACTGTAGAAACGAGAGAAAGGTTGCTTCCAATATTTAGTTTTTCCTTTAAAATTGCATCATCCTTTATTGTGTTACAACTCAACTGGTGACCTTTGGATCAGCCTACACGTGGCCTCATCTCCTTGACCAGGACATCAAATCCTAGCACTCAAGTTGACTCTCCTAGCTTTACAAAACATTAAATGCTCTTACATTAACAAGACAGGACACAAATAAACTTTACATAAAAGTCACGTCAATCATTCGCCAAAGATTTCCATCATAAGCGGATCTTCGCATGTGGGTCTTCAATGGCTGCTAAGGAGCCTCGGACGATGTATTTTTGCCGAACCGTGGCTCATCGTTAACAGCAGTGGCCTCGGAATGATAGTGAGGGCCTCGGAGCCCACATCTGAAGCTAGGAAAATATGTTTTGATTTGATTAGGCTGGTCCCACCTCTAAAATACGGTGCCACGTGTCGCTTCCACCTATTGACCCCGTAACAATAGTCCCCCAAGTCCATGTGTGGTTATTTATGCCAGGCGTGGACTTTCAATAAGTTAGAAAAAGTTTTAATTTTCTGTACTTCACAGATCTATCTCAACATTTAGTGGCAATTGTGACCGAAGTGATATTGTGATCATTGTTCGTGCACCTGGCTTAACTATTTGTTCATGGAAAGCAACTGACGCAAGAAGCACTACTCTTATGGGACTGACAAGATCAATCTCAGGATAAGAGGACAATCACCATTTACTTTGAAGCCATTGTTCTCACTCGGATGTTTCTGATTTCCTCGTGACGACCCCAAATGCTTCCTTGTGGATCTTCTCTCTGCAAAAGACTTGCAGGTTCAGTTGGGCCACAGTCTCTAAAGGATGGGGAAACATTATTAGTTGTTATAGGCATTGCAGCCATTTCAAGTGAGTACTCTATAAATTCTTTCGCTGAACTAATTCCCCTAGAGCAATCTCTCGAAGATAACCTAGACCTCCAACAACAAAGTAACCCATCCCTCTTGACGATAAAGACTTGCAACATTGTCAAAGATCTGCTTTGCATTACTGAATTCAGCTATTACAAAGTATTCTCTGGCCATCTGGACTCCACAATAGGAAGCCAACCTTGAAGCCTTCTAAGTTATTGTATGCTTCAAAAGTTCTTTTAACGAGAGCAATAATTTCAAAAAAATCCTTGAACCTCTTCCATCTGCCACGCCTCGGGCGGGATGGGATGGGGTGGGGGAGTGGCGTGGCATGGCGGGGCGAGGTGGGGAGGGAATACCTCGCCCCGAACCGGCCCCATTGCCATCTCTACCTCTTCCCTTTAGCAACAGTATATCTGTTAGGCTGAAACAAAATTTATTGAAGAATTTCTAAATACTCTTATGGAAAAGGGTAATTCTATTTGCAGTCCACTTATATGGACTGTAATGTAATCCATTAATGAAATGTTGCATTTCATTAGGCCATTCCATTATCTGTGTCCAACTCTCGCCCTTGCAATAGATGCAATCCAACACTTTTCGCAACCCTCTCCCTCGCCCTCGTCCCCTCACCCTCTACGAGTCTACATCCCCTGGTCATGTACATAGAAGCGATCTGCAAAGCAATCAAGAGATTTTCCACATACAGATTGATAAGTGTAATTTTTACACTTATTCGGGACCTAAAATAACTACATTTGATAGTTCTTTTGACAAAATATATTACAAATTATTTTATTTTATGTTTAATAGGTGAAACTTTATGGATGGAAACGAAATTGAAGAAAGGAAGCAAAATGTGGCAAAAATGGCAAAATCTAAAGTATAAGGACCAACTTGCATTTTATGAAAGAGTTGATGATTTGGAAAGAAAATATTTATTAATGGGCCTCAATTTGGATGGACTTGATTATCGAAAAAGAGAATACGCAGCCAAAATGAGATAATTTGCTAGGGAATTGATTATCATATACACACATTGGTAGCCTTGGATATATTTATATATATCTATACGTACAAGAGGAAGACAGAAAACATATAGACATATAGTGAGAGAATTTGACAAATTGGAGGCAATATTCTTATTATATCCACACGGAAATCAAGACAGAGAACATAGCAATTGAATTGAAAATTCAATTAATTCTAGATTTTTTTCACGTTTCGTCAATTTTCGGTGATGTCGTTCCACTTTTGCTTGTTTAATTTCAATATTATGTTATGCTAGATTTTTACATTGCTAACAATATAGATGAACCCTTGTTTTGAAATTTTTAGTATTTGTTACGGGTCTATGTCAGACCCCCACCTCAACCTCCACGTGTCAGTGTACGTAGCCATCCCAAGGATCGGCCGAGGCGATTACGCATGGGACGACCTGACTACAACCACCGAAGCGATTACCCCCTTTTTGGAACGAATTGAACAGGTGTCAGCAAATGAATCGGACTCATCCACGAGTACGATCACTCCTTGTGCCTTAATAAGGGGATCTCTCTCTTTTTGCTAAGTCCATCATACTACACTAAACTTGGGTATTATCTTCTCTCCCATATTGTTGGCATTTTTATACTTACTCAACCATTTCTCGGCGAGTGTCCTACCGCCGGCGAACCTCCTTGTTGAATATTAAGCTGACTTGACCGTCGGAGTACTTGCGGCCGCTGCCAACCCCTTCGGGAAAGGCCTCATTTGAGCCACGTGTCGGAGCCATTTGAGCCACGTGTGCAGGGAGAAGCTGACTTGAAGACATCTTCTGTTGGCCACGTGTCGGAGCCATTTTTCGAGGTCAACAGATTGGCGCCATCTATGGGAACTAACTTAACCACGAGTTTTCCCACCAAAAATTGCCCGAACATCCGGTCGACAGTCCCCATTTGAGAAAGGGACTAATTCTTGAAAAAGGACCCTTCAGCCACTTTGGAACATGAGTTCAAGCGGCGAAGAGGCAAATGTAGGAGCAAGGGATGTCTCTGAAGAAGAGATTATCCAAACTAATGTCAACCAACGACGGCCTCACCACTGTTACCGAAGCGGTGGAAGAACTGCTGTACGTTTAACGGCCGAAGTGGCCCAAATGGCTGCTAACATGAGAAGTGTCGCAGCTCAAAGCGCAGCTATGCAAGAGCTTCTCAAGCAAGTGCAAAATCGAGGTGGTTTTCAAGCCCCACAATACCCCCAACAATCTGCTCATAGAGACACCGAAGCAGAGTACAGCAGGAGAACTCACATAAGTCCCCAAAGGGAAGCCCCTATTGAAAGAGAAGTGGGGATGGACACTTCTAACTATACTGCAGTCCCGGTCAGCGCCCCAGCAAGAGAATACAATTTTTCTCCAGAGTACGAGGAGCAACCTCAGAGATCTGTTAGTGTCTTTGACCGGATTGGACGGGCGCCTAGAAATAGGGATCAGCCTCGCCAAATCGCTCCTCAGCAGAGGCAAGAACAAAGCCATGAAATCCAGAACCCCCATCTTAGAAATAGGCGGGAGAGGCGAAGTCAAGTGGACTGGGGAAATAGGGCTAAAACAGCCCAGTGTCCACCTCGTCCAACAGTAGATGGGAACGAATCAGACGGACCCTGCAGATCATACGAACTGGATGACGACGATGACAACTTGCCCTTCTCTAGGGAGCTTCGCACTTTTTCGATGCCTCAAAACTTTGTCCCTATGAAAATCCCCAAATACGAAGGAAAAGGTGATCCAGAGAAGCACCTCAGCAAGTATAAAACACAGATGAGCCTCCGTGGCACCTCGCCAGCTTTGAAATGCAGAGCCTTTCACCTAACCCTTGGTGGGGCTACTGAGGTATGGTACAGTAGACTAGTACCACTCAACATACGAAGCTGGCTTGACCTGAAAAAGGCATTCTTGAACCAATATCTCTCGAAGAAGGAGGGAGAGGCTCCGATTCAGCGCTTGTAAGACATGAGGCAAGCAGCAGGGGAGACCCTTAAAAATTACCTTGTCCACTTCACCGATGAGATAACTTATTGTGAGCAGGTCACAGATAAAGAGGCCCTATCAGCTCTGAAAGGGGGCTTGAACATGAACACTTTATTCTGGAGAGACGTCCGAAGCAAGAATCCTTCAACATATGATGAATTGGTGGAAATGATGAAGGTTGAAATCGTCGATGAAAAAATGATTGACCACAGGAATAAAGCAGCCCAGGGGCTCCCGCCACCTCAAAAGCAGATGGGCAGATGACCCACCTCTTAGATAGTGAGTCAGCAGTAGACCCAGGCTGGGCATACCATGGCCCCCACTTCGAGACAGGCACTGGCCACAGCCATTCTGAATGCAGTCCCCACCTTGGCTTACGAAAATGCTGGGCCAAGTAAAAGTAACCTAGCCAGGAACAGTGGACGACTCTCAACCTCTAGAAATAGGGGAAAAGGAGGAAGGCCTAGAGATAGGCCCCTAGAAATACGACCCTACTGCACCATCCATCGCCACTACGGTCATAACACCAGCGATTGTGTGGGGGTAGGGAGATCGGCAAGTAATCTTCGTAGTGGTAGGAATCATTACTACGAGGGCAGCAATCCGAGGCTTAGCCCCTCCAGAAGGGGTGAAACGAGGCGACACTCTCCAAACAATAGAAACGATGGCAGGGACAGGCCCCGAAATGGGCAGCACCCCAGAAGAGATGCAGCTCCCCCAAATGAGCAGCAACCGATTCGTGAAATCGACACCATCATTGGGGGACCCCATGTGCGAGGCGAACCAAAAAATGCACAAAGGAATTACACCAGGGAAGCAAAAACCCCGCCTATGGCCAACTATATAGTGAGCCGATCACATGATGGGAGAGCCATTAAGCCCATTCCGTTTACCCAGAAGACGCGGCGGGCGTACACTTCCCCTATTGTGACGCCTTGGTGGCCCGCAACGGGCTTAAACACATGCTGGTGGATAATGGCGCTCAGTCAACATCCTGTTCGGCACAACTTTTGACATAATGGCTGTTGATCACGAGCTAACACCAATGAGTTCACCCCTGTACGGTTTCGTCGGGGATAGCATCGTCCCCAGAGGAAAGATTACTTTAGCTGTTGAAATGGGAGCCTCGCCCCAGGAGTATTGGGGAGGCCTGCTTTAAAGGAACTATGGGCAGTTACGTCTATCCACCACCTCTGCATGAAATTCCCTACTGAACGGGGGATTGCCACTATCTGAGGCGACCAGATGGGATCCAGGGAATGCTACCTCAATTCCTTGAGAAAGGCAGAACCTCGGGTTAACATGGTTCTAGATGCTGAAATGGCGGAGGCCCCTGAAGAAGGGCCGCCTCCGACACAAGATGTTATCATGACGGAAGCCAGACCCAAAATGTACCTGGAAGAGCTGGATCCCAGGGTAATTGAGTCAGAATCACAAACTACCCCAACGGAGGAGTTGGAAAAGTTCCCAGTGGACCCTCAAGACGCCTCCAAGGTCTTGCAGATCGGAAAGGAATTGGAAGAGGGATTAGGGAAGAACTGAAAAGTTTCCTTCGACAGAACTCAGATATCTTCGCATGGAGACATGAGGACATGATTGGCATAGACCCCGAGGTCAGTTGCCATCACTTGCAAATTGACCCAAGTTGCACCCCACACAAGTAGAAGAGAAGGGCTTTGAATGTCGAAAGGTATGAGGCCCTGAAAGAAGAGGTGGAGAGGTTAGTCAATAATGGCTTCGTTCGTGAGGCCGAGTATCTGAAGTGGATTTCAAACCCAGTGCTTGTGAAGAAGCATAACGGTAAATGGAGGGTCTGCATCGAATTCTCAAACTTTAATCAGGCCTGCCCAAAGGATAGCTTTCCCGCTTCGACGAATCGACCAACTGGTAGACTCAACTGTCGGGCATGAATTGTTGAGCTTCATGGATGCCTATTCAGGCTACAATCACATACCTATGTTCCCAGGTGACGAAGAGAGCACCTCCTTCATCATGGACAGAGGGCTTTACTGTTACAAGGTAATGCCTTTCGGCCTGAAAAACGCTGGAGCAACATACCAAAGGCTAGTCAACAAAATGTTTGCCGATCAGCTCGGCAAGACAATGGAAGTTTATGTTGACAATATGCTTGTGAAGAGCCTCGTGGCCAATGAACATATCAAGCACTTGGCCGAAGCCTTCAATACCCTGAGAAGAT